ACCCCCGCCCCCGCCCCCTGCTGGCGTTATCGAGAATGTTTGCAGGTCCAGAGAGATGGTGTGAAAGATCCGCTGCCCGATGGTCGGCCACCTCCCCGCTGGCCCACCCGGAGCATCCAGTGACAGCCCAGGCCCTGCCGCCTGCCTGGGGAGGGAAGGCCCAGGTGCCCCTGCCTCTCAGGGTCCAGCCGGGTTCCACCTCCACGTCGACCTCTGAGTGCGCCCCGGGGAGGGTAGTGGACAGCGACAGAGGAGGACCTCTGGAGGGTCCTTGGAGAGCAGACCCGTGGGGCTCCCTGCTGTCCCCAGCGCTTTGCCTCAGTGGAGAGACCCGCGGTGCCGGCATCCCAGGAAGCAGCAGGTGCACAGGACGGTGCTCTGTGTGGCTGAACCTCTTAGAGGGGAGAGGGCCCTCAGCACCCCCAACTGAGGCCGCCCCCAGCACAGGCTCAGCAGCAGCTGCTGAGCCACAGGATGGAGACTCGGAGGTGGGGGCAAGAATATGGGGCTGAAGCAGCTCCAGCCCCTCAGCTTCCATGCCCCGCCCCCAGGCCAGGGCTGCTCTAGGGCAGAAGAACCCTCAGGACCCCCTGGGCTGCCAGACCCAACACAGGCAGCAGCTCCCATGGCACAGCTCCTGCAGCCTCCCAGCCTCTCCTGTCTCCCACCTCCCTGCATGGTGTCCCCAGCCCTTCTACCCTGGGGCCCCTGGGGCTGCTCCTGTCCACAGGAGCCCCGTCCACTCTGGGGGCAGGACCTGTGGTCAGAGCTTGCTAAATCCTCAGCCCCTGACCAAGGCCAGGTCAACAGTGCCCACTGCTCCCCTGCAGGGCTCTGCAGACACTGGCCCAGGCGTGGTGGACCCACATGATCACTCGAGGCCCAAGCACCCCCGATGGTGGGTGCTTTCCTCCCTGCTCTGCAGGGAGGAAATGGGTGAGGCAGGTTAAGCAACCTGTCCAAGATCATGCAGCAGTACTGCGACTCCAACCCAGGCCACCAGGCGTCAGGGAGAGTGAGTCCTGAAGGTGCCCAGGGCCTGTCTGCCTGCATCCTTGCTGGAGCCTGGGGAGGCCATTGCCCCTGCACCCCCACATACCCAGACTCCTCACCAGGCCTCCCCCAGAGCCAAAGCCTGGCTTCTTCACTCCATCGTCCCCAGCCAGCTCTGCCGTGGACATCAGGGAGTCTCCAAGTCTGTGGCTGAGATGCAGGGCCGTGAGGCCCAGGGGCTGGTGACTCCTGCAGGGAGAAAGCAGAAGCTGAACTTCGTGCCACCCCACCTCAATGTGATCCCCCTGCTTCACGCAGTCACTGGTGATGCAGTGGAGCTTGCTCAGCAATTTGCAAGCCCAACCCCACGTCCTCTGTATGGGTGCAGCTGGGCAGCACTGAGGATCGAGCCCAGGGCCTCCCACTGAGCTACACTCCTAGCCCTTGTTTTATTGTCTTTTTTTTGGTACCGGGGAATCGAACTTGGGTCCTTGCGCCTGCGCATCAGGAGGCGAAACCACTGAGCTAAATCTCTGGCCCTTATCTATTTTTGAGCCAGTCTCACTAAATTGCCCAGGCTGGGCTCAAACTTCTGATCCCCCTGCCTCAGCCTCCCAGCGTGCTGGGATTAGACATGCATCCCCAGACTCTGCCACGTTTATTTATTAATGAGAAGAGCCCAGCCATGCCCCCGGGGCCTTGCAACCATCCCCGAAACCTGTGGAGGCGGCTGGTGCCGCTCTGACGTGGCAGTTGGGGCAGGTAGGGCAGAAACAGGGCCTCGAAGGCTTGCTGTGAGGGGTGCTGTGTCCCTCAGGGTGAGGATGCTTCCCCGCCCCTGCACTGGGATTAAGTTTCATCCTTTGCCCTCCTCACAGCCAGGGCCTCCAGGTGTTGCACTGCAGTCAGAGGGGATGGAGGCTGCATTCAGCGCTTGGCGACCCCCGGAGAAGGGGCCCAGAAAGCACAGCCCTGGGGCCATGGGCATCCTCTCGTGGCCAGGCACAATCTGCTTGAAGTCGCTGGCAGCGACACTGGGCCTCGGCCACAGCCCCAGCCTGATTTTTCAGACCATGTCCAAGCAGCTGGCTCAGGAGGCCACACTCTACGGTCACTTGAAGGCCCTGGCCAGGCTCGGGCCTTCCTGGGGCAGACCAGGACTTGCCCTGAGCTGGTGCCCCCAGACACAGGAAGAGCTGGGGGCTTCTGGAGGCAGCGCCACCACTTCTGTTTGCTCTTGGCTGTCTCCAACAAGCAGCCGGGTGTTGCGCCCAGCCTTGCCAGGTTTTCATGGTGCCCAAGAGTGAGTTTGCCCAGCACCCAGTGAGGCTGGGGACACAGCGGCCAGGCCGGGGTCAGCTCCGCCCTCGGGGCTCAGCCCACAGCCTGGTGGCTGCATGCACTGCTCACGTCTGTTCTTCGAGCAGCTCTCCCTGAAGACTCACTAATGCAGCGAGGTTAATCGATGTAACTCATTAACTTACCCCCCCCCACCTGGCGGCTGGAAAGCACTGTTTCAAGAACCTTTAACCAGGGAGCTGACTCCGGTTCTAACTGCAGGTCCAAAAAAGGAGAAGCCCCAACTTACAAGCTCGGAGATGCGCTGGGGGAGAGGCTCCGGGGGCCGGGTAGTGGCGCTGACCCTGGGGAGCCCTTCCCCCATCCATGTCGCAAGACTTCCCGGCTGTCACCCGCCAGCCGGACGGACAGTAGTTTCTGCAGGCAAGCACAGGTCTCTGAGGGGATGCTCCCCTCCCTCTCTATGCCCTCTACCCTGTCCCAAGGACATCTCCATGGCAACCATCTGCTGGCGTAGACAGGGATTCTCATAAAGGTGGGTGCATCTGCTGTGTGAGTCCAGCTGCACTGAGGAGTCAATGAGGAAGCACAGCTGCCTACAGGGCTGAGGCTCCACCAGCCAGGACCGGTCTGTGTGGCCCAGGTGGGCTTCCTCCCTGCCAGCCTTTCACCAGGCCCACCACAGGGAGTGACAACTGTCCCCTCCAAGGAAACTCCAGCCCGTGGAGGACCCTGCACGCGCTGCACCTCCATTTCTCCCTTATCAGCCCCAGTGGCCCTGTAAAGCCAGACCTCCCCTGCCCCAGACGCAGGGTGAGTTTCCAGATGTGATTCCTCCAGCTCCCTCTGCACCAGGCATACGCTTTCATTCTTCACCACCAAAGTCCCCACAAGGATGCAAGTCTACACAAGAGCCCATGCCGGGTCGTTAATGGGCTGGGTGCGTGTGTCGGTTGTGAGGATGCACTAATACATGAAGGAGGGAGGAGGACATGCATCGACCTCGCAGACAGTGGTGAGAGGAGTCACAGAGCTCAGGATGGAGGAGGCGGGCTCACATTTGGTCAGACAGGAGTGAGGACACAGGCCAGGGGTCAGCACTGTCCGCTGTCATCAGTCATCTCCCCGTCATCCTCAGGAGGGGCCATTCGCCAGCTCGGCATGGCTTCCCACCTTCTCCTGAGTCACTGCCCAGACAACCCCAAGAGTGGCTGTTACTCTCCCTGGGCCCCCGTTGTGGGTGTGAACACGCAGCTTTGCTCGGAGCCTGCCCCAAGTCCCTCCCACACTGCTCCTCCCAGGCACAAGTGAAAAGGCTGCCACAACGGACCTTGCCGCCCCCAGCCAGGCCATGTGACGGGTTCCATGGGACAAGCATGCCCCTGGGTCAGGGCCCTTCAGCACTACCAGGGCTGGCTCCCCACCTGTGGCCCAGCCGCCAGCCATCACTCTGCCCCAGAAGTGTCTTCCTGACAGGAAGGGGACCACAGAGCCTGGGCTCGCCCTGCCTCCAACCATTCTTTCCAGCAAAAGCTTTAGAAATGGTCAAGTGCACCAGAAACACGAGACTGGGCCAGGCCTCCACAGCGGGATGGCGCTGCCCTCTCCTTCCCCGATTGCTGGTGCTTCTGTGCCAGGCCCGCCTCAAGCCGCCCTGCTGGCCTGCAGAAGCCGAAAGATGCTCTGATGCTGGGGAGCATGGGGAGGCGTGGGCGAGAGGCACCGCAGTTTGGAAACAGCAGGTGCTTTCCCCACGGAGGCTGGGGCAACATCACAGAAGAACCACGTCCAGGTCTTTCCAAGAGTCCCGCCATCATCCAAGTTCCGGCTGAGGCTCTGAAGCCCACCAGGGCCCGATGCCATGGCAGAGCTCCTCCTGGCCCCACTGTCTGGCATGCTGCACACAGCGTCCACCCCGGAGCTCTCCGAGTGGGTTGGCTATGGCTCCCCAACCTTCAAGTGCTCCTGGCCACCTGGCTTCTTGTGGGGGCGCTGTCTTGCAGACAGGGCCTTGCTCTGGCAGGCCTGTGCCTGGCTCAGGTTTCCAGGCCGCCAGCATTCCTCCCCTCCCCCACTCCCACCTCCTGCTCTAAGTAGTTCATTATCTATAAACACTCCAGGGAGGGCTCAGCAGAGTGAGCACTGCCATGATGAATGAGAATGATTGCTCAGGTCCCTCTCCCAGGTTTGCTCTTGGCCCAGTATCAGAGCTCCTGGTGGCAGGGAGCCAGAACTATGGTTCCAGTCCTGGCTCTGCCCTGCCGCTCTGTGACCTCAGGCAATCATTCCTCTCCCTGGCCTCGGTTTCCTCAACTGTTGAGTGGGTAGTGACAGCCCCATGTCACCACTCATTGTGAGGATGGAGGGCTTCATGGCCAGGCTTCTGGCATCTGGCACCCTTGGTACCTGGCTTGTCACTGGAACCATCTGCCATTCTTCTGGGCTCTCAGGGGAAGTCGCTGTGCTAACCTGTAGGCGAGCCTTCAGAATCCAAGCATGGAAGCCATGGGCCAGGCCAGGTGTGGTATAGCCTGGTGTGGGGCCAGTGACACCTGGCCTGCACCTGCCCCTGTGGGCCCTGCCACAACCCAGGGGTTGCAGAGCATCAGCCAAGTGCCCAGGCCAGGGCTCACGGGCCCAGCCCAGGGCTCAGCCCAAGCAGCAGGTCTCCTGGTACCTGCCCAGTCCCCGATCTGGGGACACAGCCCAGCCTTCCTGCAGCTGGCACTGAGGCAGGCAGTGGGAAAGGGCGCAAGTCTTGGGCTCCCCATGAAGAATCATCCTGACAGACCACTGGCACAGAAAAAGCCCTTTGTCCTGGCCAACTGGCTGCCTATGAGTGATTTCCAGCCTGAGCCACTCCAGCTCAGGGAAGATCAATGCAGCTCCTGCCCTCGGGGTGAGAGGGGAGGCACCACTGCCCGGGGCAGGGACCGTCCTGGGTCACTTTGCTCCACAGCACTGGGCCAGCCTGGTGTGCAGCGCCATGGGGAGGGTGCTCAGTGCGCCTGGTGACCACCCTTCCTCCTCCTTCACCTCTGGGTCACCACTGTGTCCTCCTTGTCCCTAACCCCAGGGGTGGTGGAGAAGAGACCCTGTGCCCCTCACAGAGCTGGGCCCCACTGGCCCAGTGGAAATGCCGCATCTGGCTGGGATTCTGATGCTAAGCAAGGCCCTTCCCTGGGCTCCTATGCCACGCTGTGGCCCCCCAGCCTGCCCCAATCACCAGTGGGGCCCTCCACCCCATGAGCACTGGCGAGAGGCCGTGTTCTGGGGCTGCCATCCTCCTGGGCCTCAGTCGAGGGTCTGTGGGGATTTGGCTCCACTGGTGCAAGGTGTGGGCTGGGGTACCCGGACAACAGCAGGCAGAGCCCAGAGGAGGGCAGGACACAGCCATGTGCTGCTCAGGCCTAGGTCAGAGTCCATCCAGGCAGGCTGGGCCCCTCCTGAGGGTGGAATCATGCTTTGACCCTCAGAAGCTGCCTACCTTCCCTGGCCAGCGGGAAATTCAGGCCCTGCCAGTGAGAGGATGAAGCTCTTCGGCCACTGACTCACACACACCCTTAGGGCCAGAGGGTGCATGCACATCACAGGACCGCAAGGCTTCAGTCTGGCTCTGTCCTGTCCACCATGGAACTTGGGCAAGTCCTACCTTATCCTCAGCACAGCCTCCTCATGTGGAATTGGGGTGCTAGTCCTTGCAGCTGAGGCTGGGTGGGCCTGGGTCGAACTGCAGCTCCGGGAAAGCTCCTAGCCTGGGGGCACACTGGGGACAGGCTTTGGCACGACACCTGCCCTGCTAAGGTGACCACACACTTGTGATGGGCTCCCTGGGACCAGCACAGCATCGAGGGGCTGTGGCTGGGCTGGACCCCCCCCCCCGACTCTCCAGGCCCAGTTCCTGGAAACCTGCACCCCACAAACAGGTTGGAAAAGGAGGTGGAGTGGCCTTACACCTGCCAGGCCACAGGGACTTCAGAGGGGCTGGGGCCACCTGGCTCCTGCAAGGCCCGGAGGCAGGGGGTTTCTCTGGGCCCAGCTGTGGGCAGGAGAGGGAACCCTGGGCAGGCCCCGTCTTTCCACCAGGCCAGGGAGGCACACAGTACAGACTGATTTCCTCCGTGTGCCATAGAGTGGTACCTCCCGCTCTGTCAGCAGCTCAGTGCTGTTCGGATGTGCTCAGCCGAGCATGAGGCCGCCTGAGCACCAGGCTCAGCCGGGAGCTGTCTCCATAGTGCCTTCTCCCCGAGGGCCCAGGCATTGGCCAGGCTGCACAGCCTTGCGGACACTGTCCGTGAGGGCCAAGTAGGGTCTGCTCCGTGTCCCTGGGCACCTAGGCCTAAGGAGCACATGGCAGGGGGCTGGTGCCAGGGCCGTACTTTGCAGCTTTGGGCCCCCGTGGAGGCAAATGAGCCTGTCATCACTGGGTGTCGCGGGCGCCCTGTGGGCACCTCTCTTTCAGGCTTGGACAGGAGGAGGACTAGGATTCCGGGGACCAGGTCTAGGACCCCTCCCACAGCAAGAGAGCCCACCCTGAGGATTCTTTTTTTTTTTTTTTTTTTTCTTTGTTACCGGGGATTGAACTCGGATCCTTGCTCTTGTGAAACAGGCGCTGGAACCACTGAGCTAAATCCCCAGCCCCCTACCCTGAGGATTCTGGGCTCCCAGCAAGCTGGGAGTGGGCAGTGGCAGCAGCACCCAGGGCCCAGGGTGGGGCAGAGCCACGAAGAGGAGCGAGAGGGAGCTCTGGAACCAGACCCCAGGTCCACCGCACAGAGACCCCCCGAAGGTGCCGTGGGAGGGGGTAGCAGAGCTCGCCGACCAGGACCCGGTGGGCGCATCCCCATGGGCCAAACATGGGTCCTTAGCCTCTGCGGTGTTGAAATGCAGTCCAGCTGGCCGGGAGGAGCGGCTGGGCCTCACCAGCTGTGGGGATCTGAGTCCATCCCCGAGTGGCTGTAAGAAACAGGACAGGGTGGAGCGCTTTTCTAAACTTCCAGTGTACTCTAACCTTTCTCGTCCTAGATGTGCTGTCACAAGTGCCTGGGGTGACACATTCTGTTCCTCCATCTGGCCAGGCGCGGTGGTGGCGGCGCACGCCCAGAGTCCCAGCACATGGAGGCCAAGGCAGGAAGGTCACCATGAGTCGGGGCTACAGTGACTGCAAGGCCAGCCTGAGCTACATAGCAAGATTCCCTCTCAAAACAGAACAGAAAGCCACAGGGTCATCTGGCCGGGGAAGGACCCAAGTATCTGAGACCAGGCTTCTCCCAGCTTCCAACACCAAAGCCTCTGGAGTATATATTCCCCAGGGCCAGGGATTTAGCCCCACCTCACAAGCACAAGGTTCCATGATTCCCCAGACCAGGCTGCAGATGTCCAGGCACCCTCTCCAGAAAAGCTCTGTCCTCCCTGAGTTGTGCCTAGAGAACCAGTGTGCTCAGGGGAGCTCTGTAAAGGAGCTCTGCTTCCTTATTGACAAAGACGCATCTGCAAATAGCTCCTGGAGTCTCCAACCCAGAAATGCTGGTGTCGTTTCAAACCTGAGCCCAGAAGCCAGCTCAGCAGATGCCAGACCAGCTACCTGGGCAAGGCTGCAGCTCACGAGTATTCGCAGCTTTGAGGGTGCATCTCTTAGCCTAATAACCTCCAATTAATCCAATCAAGCTTCCTGGGTGACTGCAGTTGCTGACTTTCACCCCCCTAATCTCTTCCCTCCAGCAAATGGGGGGCACACTCTACTTCCCTTTCTGCACTTGGGCTGGTCTGGTCCAGCACCTCTGTTCCAGCCTGTTGGCTCTCTGTGGAGTGCCAGACACGTCCCCACCCTGTTCTTGGAAGGCCCTGGACCTCGTCCCAGTCCTAGTGAGGATAATTACCCTGACGTCCGTTTGCAGAGTTTCAATATGATTTCTCAACAGTGGAAGCACAGATTTGGCTGTGGCGTTTCCATGGGCTGGCACATGTCCTTCCTCTGGCTGGTCTCCCTCAGCGACAGCCATCACCACGGCTGAGGGCCAAGAGTTCCTCTTGTTAGGCAGTCAGCACTAAGCCCAGCTGTGGATGGTACACACAACTCATCAGACCTGCCTGTCAGGGAGAGCTGCCTGCCTGGGCACCTAGATGTCCCCATGGACCTGTGCTGACCTGCACTACTGACTGGAGGTGGGATGCAGCTGCCTGTGGACCCTGTGACGCTGCAGGCTAGCTCTGCCTCAGGTAAGAGGGGGCAGAACATAGCTAGGACCATGGGGGGGGGGGGGGGGACAGGAAGCCACTGGGGAAGTGGGCCCAGCAGCAGCCCTGAGCGGCTGGGGAAGGCTTTGAGATCTCTAAAGCAGAATCTCAGAGCCCCGGAGCTGTGGGAGGCAGCAGGGACCTGGGGCTCAGGGTCCTTGTTCTGAGGGGACATAGGACCCTCGGGACAGACTGCTGGTTCAGCCCACAGGATGCAAGGTGAAGCCCAAGGCTGTGGACCAGAGCAAGACTGTCCAGTTCACAGCTGCTGCCCTCCCTGATCCCATTCAACTGAGCCAACATCCAGGCATGTTGCCAGCCCCACAGGAAATGAAACCAAAGCAGATCCGTCCCCCGAGTCCTGGGCTCAGGCCCATGATGACCTTTAAGGTGGAAAGAAGGGACAACTCTGTTCCCAGTCCTAGGGGACCCAGTGGCTGCCACATTGTACCATCACCTGCCCTATCAAAGCCCCGCCCTGCCCTGCACCCTGCCCCACACCGCCGGCCTGCTGTTCCCTCCGGGGGAGATGGTCAGGTGTCCCCTGGGAGACTGCACCCAAAAGGGCTGCACCTATGTCTGCTTGGTCGTGACCGGCACCCAAGACAGCACTCTTGAACCACCGAGGCAGGCAGGAAGGAGAGTGGCAGAGGCGAGGCTCTCACAACAAGGCTTCCCTGTGCATAGTGGGGAAGGCTCCCTGAGCCAGTGGCCCCACAGCCCTAACGGAGGAGCCCAGCTGTGGCCAAGAAGGCTAAACAGAGAAACATGGAATTGACTTTTTATCTGGAAAATCTTGCCCTAGGAAATCAATCCTGGCATTCCAGAAGGAAGCCCTGGGCTCAGCGTGAGCGGCTGTGCCCAGATACATGACCCCAATCTTCTCCCTCTATTAAGTGGCTCTGAGAGGCTTTGCGGTCAGTCCCAGCTTCTGCTGGCTTGCAGCTCTGGTGTGGACTACACGAAGTGCAGGCTCAGAAATAGCTGGCCCCGTGCCTCAGGGTGTGGGCCAGGCTCCCTGCCCTGCTGTCCACACTGGCTCCCACCTGTCTCTCACTGGCTGCAAGGAGTCAAAGTCAGAGCCCCCAGATTTACATGCTGCCCTCTGGCCCTGGGGGAGGGGAACCTTGGGGTCCGGTCAAGCACATGGGAAGAGAGGCACGAGCCACCTGTCCCTGCTCCTACTGGGGCATCCCGGTCCCCCATAGACTGCCCCCTGCTTGCCTCTGTGATCCCTGAGCCGAGCCCTCAGCTATGCCCTAGGGGAAACCGAGTCTCCCTCTGGAA